CCTCTGGATGCCCTGAAACAGCAGCTGACAAACCTATAGAGTCTCTACCCCTCCCGATCCTGCTGAGACACAAGATTTAAAGCTAGTACTGTAGCTTATACCACCATCAGTCCCACCATGGTGCTGACGTGAGGTTCCGAGGGGCCTTGGTTCGAGAGTAGATTTGCAGTCGTAGTTGGCCGATCAGGCAAACAAAGCTTATACAGTTTACTCTTTGAATTTATTGAACACCATCCATACTTAGTAAAACCACTCCCCTCTGAATTCCATCCGTATATTTGGAAGAAATAAGAATTTGGGGAAAGAAAAATTATATTTATGAAAAGGGATTATTTACAACTTATTTTTTGAGTAATATAGTACCCTGTTGGATAACATTCTGGTATTCCTGAGTCTAGATTTCAGGCGCGGACTGGAATATTATTCACTATTCTAGGCAGGCCCGACCCGTAACCAGCTGGAGGGGGAGAATCGGACGATTCCCCCCCCTCCCTCACAGAATAGGGAGTTCCGCTCTACTAGGCCAACACAAACACAAAGCCGATGGCCCTGAGGAATAATCATGAATGTAGGTTTCTGACCAAAAGTAGTTGTATCTTGTAGTGGTAAGATGCTCACGTTCGTGGATTAAAATTGTTAAAGGAAGTCTCTCAACCAAAGCCAATCCAACAAGCAAAGAGTTTTTGAACGCACAGATGATTATGTGACGTCACTAACGGGGCCTTACCTGTAACATAAGGTGTTAAAAGCGCCCCGACTCCAAATATCAAATAAACAAAGGCAACTGCTTCAGCTCTCGTTTCATTTGAAGATAGTTCCATTGCTATTGTTGGTAACAAAATGAGTATAAATGACCGAGGAATGCTTATCACTGAAACATAAACGAAAAGATATAAGTATTATTTCATCAAATATATACATATATATATATATATATATATATATATATATATATATATATGAATGAATATGAATGAATGTTCTATATTTTCGTTTATATTTTTTTTTGTAATCTAATTTTCAATGGTAAGTGGCATTAATTCATCGAATGCCTACCAATTAGCGCTGCCTTTAGTCCGTTGTATGATGTAATGAAGGGTAGGCATATTGAGGCTACCGCGGCAATGATAGTATTTATACTGAATTGTAATGTCCTTGATATTGGAATTCGGTCGGAAAATATTGCGGCGATAATTCTTCCTGTCAGGTCACTTGCGCCCATCCACACCATGGTGATGGATATAGACGGCATATTCATTCCTTTGTAAGACAAGTAACTGCCCTGCATGAAAGAACATAAAGAACACAAATTTAGACGGAATCAATCACTTACAATCATTGCGTAAAATTAGCTAATTCCAAAAACGAATAATGTTATGTATACCCACTCCCATGACCAACTCTAGCAAAAATAGACACATTATACTGTAATATTATCTTCATAATCTAGACACCAGAATCTAAAAATTGGTGCCTAAATCGTTAAAATCGAATAACAAATGACGAAGATAGAAGAATTTAAATTTCCAGTCCAACATGAGAATTTCAGTTGATTTGAAGGCGTTCGATGTATCAGACATGCACCAGATTTTGCAAGAACAGCGTAAAGTGAACTGATTAACGATCCTTGACACCTTGATAACAATTTCCGGACTGTCCATCAAACTTAACAACTGACCAATCAGAAAATGTTATTAAAAAGGCGGCTCGGGAACACGCGCATGTCCCTATATGAACTTTTTAATGGTTCCACATACAACCATAAATAGTTAATGTTTACGACCGAACATTTCACCCATGTTTGGCTGCGAATGGTTATTGTTTTTTTTTTGTGGGACCATAAAATAATACTATTAAATGGGCAGGGCTATAGTAAAATGGTGCATTTCCAGGGTAGATATAATTATAGACGTGTACAATTTAACATTCCTCATAAACTATATAAAATTATCGGTGATTCTTCACATCCTCTGAGCTCGAATTAATTAAATAATGTATAACTTTTGTACACTAAAATTTCAATAAGGGTAACTGATACATGTCTATTAAGTTTTGTGTGGTTAATTCCTCTGATTTGCCCATATAGATACGATATGCACATATGGATGTCATATACTGTAAAGTCATGCGCATATACTGTATGTGCAGGGAACAGTGAATTTCACTGTTCCCTGGTATGAGTAAATAACAAATACTTGTCAAATAAATCTTGATGGAGTGGGCAACAGAGCTTTAGACACACGTTTACTTACTACACTGATTAAAGTGAACGAAACTGCTGTTGATGCTAACAAGAAACCCATCAAAGCGATGTCGTAATCAATTCTTCTGAAAACAGCAACATACTTTGCTATAAGTTTATTTGGATTATGTTGCGTCGGTCTTCCATCACTCTTTGATTTTTCATTTTTCTGGTTGATTGCTATACATGGCGTTGTCTGTAGTGATTTTTCATCATTGTGTGATTCTTTTTCCTTTTCCTTTAACGCGTATAACTTTGTTTGCGTTTCACTTGCGTTAACTCCAGTTATTTTTGTGTCTTTGCTCTCGTTGACTGGTTTCATCTCGATCATAACAATAGAGGAAGCATACCCAACGAAGGCGAATAAAACACAAAGTATTCTCAACGCAACACGCCATGAGTATGTTATATATAACCAGTCGAGACATGGAGTAATGAGAAAACCTGGAGTAAAGATTGTTAAAGATTACGTTGTTGTATAACAAGAATAATGCTATTGATAATGACACATTGATATTGATAGTAATAACGATTGATAATAAAATTGATGATGGTGACGATGAGTTGATGATGATGAAGGTGATGATGATGACGATGATATGGCCGGCGCAACTGGGGGCGGGGCGGGGGGAGAATTGTATAGACCTACTTACATTAAATTCAGGACCCGTGAGCTGATTTTTCCCCTTTTTTTTACATAAGAAAATTAGAAGTCGGAAAAGCTCATTTCCAGCCATCTACTGTAGGAATCAAAAATGTTTCGGGGGCGGACCCCGACACCATTTTATTTTTTGGGTTCATCGATTCATGGAAAGGAGAATACGTATACAACGTATGTATACCGGTACACACAACCCCGACACCTTTTATTTTTGGGGTTCATCGATTCATAGAAAAAAGAATACGTTTGCAACGTATGTATACTGTAATAAGAATGAGAAAAAATTACCTGATCGTTTTCAAGGAGGAAAGCATTTTGAAGAACTTAAAAGTCATTAAAAGACACCAGAAGTCAGGAAAGCTCATTTCCCGCCATCTAGAAATAGAAATTTTCCGGGAAAACCCGGATCTCCTTTCTCTTTGGGGTTCATCGATTCATGGAATCGTTTTTAAGAGGCGAAAATCTAGAATCCTGAAGAAATTAAAAGACACCACAGAAGTCGGGAAAGCTCATTTCCCACCATCTAGGAATCACAATTTTCTTTTTGGGATTTACTAATTCCTATTTAATGTAATAAGAATGAGAAAAAATTATCTAACCGTTTTCAAGAGGAGAAAAGCATGAAATTTGAAGAACTGAAAATTAAAGTAATTAATAAAGGACACAGAAGTCGGGAAAGCTCATTACTCGCCATTTAGAAAACAACATTTTCCCGTGGAGAACCCAAACCCCTCTTTGGGGTTCATTGATTCATAGAATCGTTTTCTAGATGGGGAAAACCTTGAATTTTGAAGAACTTAAAAGGCAATTAAAGACACCTCGAAAGACGGACACCATCTAGAAATAAAAATTTTCCCAGAGGAGGACACGGTCACACCCCCCCCAGCCACTTCTCTTTGGGGTTATCGATTCATGGAAAAAAGAATACGTATGCAACTACTCATCTTTTTTAAATTAATACACATATAACAGGCCTTTTTACTGTAATATAAATGAAAAAAAGCTCTCCTGACCGTTTTCAAGAGGGGAAAAAACCTTGAATTCTGAAGAACTTAAGTCATTGAAAGACACCTAGCTCGAAAGTCGGGAAATAAATCTCATTTCCCGCCATATAGGAATCAAAGTTTCCAGGGGGAGGACCCCCGGACCACCCTTCCTTTTTGGGGTTTATGGGATAAATTGTGACCCCTACCCTAAATTTGAGCCTAAATCCTCCCTGATTCATATTCCCATTCATCCTACTTGTGCCTAACACCCCCCCCCACCTTTGAAAAACGTTCCGCCGGCCCTGGATGATGTGATGATATGGTGACTGTGATGGAGATAGTAGTGACGATAATGATGATGACGGTGATGATAGTGGTGGTGATCTTGATCATGATATTGATGATGATCATGATAACTTATGATTTCTAGCAAAAGAACATCTCAATCCTTATCGATGACGGAACAGATAGGTTTAAAATGATCATACCAACACTAACACCACAAAACATCAAGCTAGTTGCCCTTGTTGCGTTACGCTTGTCGACGTTCCTTAGAACCATGTCAACGATTGTCAGATTGGTAGTACTGCAGCCGATTCCATAGAGGACGCCGTATGTGAAGTTCACAGCTACAATGTCTTGCATGAAGGATGTTATCAAAAGGCCTAAGCAACACAGTGATACACCAAAGGCTACGGTTCTTCGATGACCTAGCGTTTGAAAGAGGACGGTGACGACGACGGCGCTGCATCTTAAAAATGCAATCGAAACCGCACCAGGAACAGCTATAGAAATATATACGAGTGATGAAAAGTTTATGGTAATTATTATTATTCTTTTTAATTTTGAAATCATATGACGATAAGGATGACGATTATGATGACGAGGATGATATTGCTGATGACGAGGATGATGTTGACGCTGTTGATGCTCTACTGAAGAAGATGATGATGCTGTTCGCAATGATAATAATTATTGTGATGTTGATGATAATGCAGTTAATGATGATGATGATGATGCCGATGATGATGAAGACGACGGCAAAGATGATGAGGAAGTTGATGATGATGGTGGATGATGATGAAAATGGTGATGATGTTTTTGTTGTTGCGTTGAGTCTGACTAAAATAATTGCACACCTATAACGTAGGTCTAATATATGTATTATTATAAGCCTATTGCAATTTATCCCGTTTAATGAATTACTTTTTAACAAATGAGATAATGTTGTGGCCTGTGCAAATCGGACAAACATTGCATATCGTAGATACATTCCATAGAATCGCTCACCCTATCGGCGACAGTCGGGAAGGTTGAACCTGGTTCAACTTTGCCGCTTGCGTTGCAAACGAATCAGGGTGCAATGCTAGTTGCCCCGACACTTTCGGGAAGGCACCCCGATTCCTCTGCAACGCAATCGGTAAGGTTGAGCCAGTTTAACCTTCCCGACAACTGTCGGCGACTGTCGCCAATAGGGTGAGCGAGTGTATGGAAACCGAGTTTAAAGAAAGAGAATTTGGCATACATTGGATTCGAATTCCGAACCCCTCCCATTATATGTTTGACGATGTATTCACGTTGCCTCACTGACTTTGTAGTAAAAAGGCCTACTGAATGATTTAAACTTGATACATATTTTTCAACGCCCCTATAAATTGCAAGCAAGAATCTGTTAAATTAATCTGCGAATGACTGTAGGGTAGCCCAGGAGAATGAAAGGTCCTCCTACCTGCCTGTGTCGATGTACAATTAAATGAATCCTTGAACTGAATATGAAGTAAATTGTAGCTATAAAGCAGACCCGTAAACAGCATATAGTGCAGAAATGATGCAAACACAACAACAATCGCCCAATTATTTCTGACGAAATCAGCAAGTCGGCGAAAGCACGGCATATCGTAAACGTATCTGTAATCTAATGAATATAGGCATAAAAACAATACTGGCGAAAATAGCGTTAACGTCAATTGTTTTTGCCCAATGAATCGATATGCACAACAAATACTTAATAAAAATCATATACATAAAATCTACGGGTACTGTAGGTCAGACGCTAACCTTTATGCAAATAAAAAAAAATGTATGGCATGGATGATCACATTAGAGGAAACACATTTAAATGGATACTTGTCGTATAACCCTTGCATTGATTTGGCGTTCATACTTTGTGTTTGGTTGTCCACCGAATGGAAACAACCAAAGCAATAATCGTACTGCGTACTGGACCTTCCACATTTAGGCCTAACTCGCATGTGCCCTTGAACAAGGCACTTTATTTGCGTTGCTTTTCCCCAGGATTATTTTTTTTTATATCTTTTGCATAACAGCAAGTAATTTCGCCAATTGCAGATTGGAATGATGCTTTATAAACTAAGTCTCTCTATGAGGTGCAGTGGAGTTGGTTTGGTAAAGGCCAACTCATACGGCGTCGGCCGACGCAGCCCGACCCGATTTATCGTCGGGGACAGTCTTAAGCCGTCTTAAGCGTCTGCGTGGCATGTCTAATATGCGCTTTATTGCTATCACCCATGTTATTGCACTTATGTGCCGGTCCCAGAAGGAAAATCCCATAATGTTGCAGCTTAATCAGTGCATTATGGTTTCTAGCTTACCAAGCAGGGGCGGCGCGAGGAATTCCCCTACGAGGGGTCCAAACTCCCCGACAAGGGGTTCACGCCCACCCCCGGTCGGGGAAAAATTAAATTTTATTAAAAGATAATACAATTTTGTGCTAATTATAAGATTCTTTAAAAAGGATGTCGGGGTACTAGTCCCCCTGTCGGGAAGGTACCAGCCCCGCGGGAAGGTACCACCAGCCCCTGTTGGGGAAGAGGTGGCGCACCACTACAACACATTACGATCGCAACAGTTATACAACACCTCGCACATACGGTAGCATGCACTGCTCGTTTCTAATCCCTAAAATTGACAGCGTAAGTATAAGGCATGCTTGGAATTGTACTTTCGGAGCTCGAGATTTGATTTTTCCCCGACGACCTTGCTGGAAATTCTCCAACAGGAGTCCTTTTGCCTCCCCCTCCCAGACCCCTCGCTAGCGCCGTTCTTGTTACCAAGTACATACTCGTGATGAATAATACGAAATAAATCATTACATGCAATCATAAACATACAAGCGTATTGAGGACTATATTATCATCATTGAAGTAGGCCTATTGTTAAACGCTTCATTAATAAATATTGTGTTGACTTGTTTATAACAACAGCTGTGGTTAACTGTCATTCTGGCCCATTCATGCGGATTCTTGTTGTAATGGTAAGCTTCGTATGTTTTAATTTAATAGCCTCTATATAGAAAGGTGTAAATCCATTGCACATCTTTCAGTGGGTGCATGTTTGACGGTACGTTAAAAAAAAAAATCAGCAATTATAACCACTGTAATCTGATAACAATAGCAAATAGTGTGCCTAGAATAAAAATTTTCTGTTTTAATTGTGGCATCATTCCGTTGAATTTTTGACTTATTTATGAAAGAGCGCTTACTGCTAATGCTGGTAAAAATCGATCGTTACCGTATTGCAAACCACCTGTTTCCGTGTTCTGTCGACCAATCGCTGTCAGTTTATCAATATTATTGACGTATCGTCTGCGATTTGCATAATAAAACATGGGCCTATACTGTCACCGTCTCATTCCATATGTCATTATATCTAGCGAACATTACGGAAAAGTATGCTTTAATGTTGGTTAAATTAATGTCAGTCATCAGTCCAAAGTGTCGATATAATTATGTTTACTTTTGAACTATTTTTTAATAGTGTCCATGCGATAGGATTTATACTTCAGCGACTGAGATGATTCGATGAGCGAGGCACAACCGTGCTGTATACGCCTCAGTAAAGCTTGCTTCTGAATCCTGACTTTTATATGGTCGAATGGTGAGATGATGCAACTTAAGATTAAATTTATAGGGCTATCTCTTTATTTTAGAGCAGTATTTCTTTGAGATTCGCATTTATTTTTAATGGCACATGATAGTAACTTTGGTATGGAGATACACCTCCACTGGTGCAGTGGCGTAACGACTATGCACTCTCGTGCGGTGGTCCACAGGGCTCCCGACCCCTAGGGGCCCATAACCACATGGTCTCCGATCTAGCACCCTGACCTAAAGGGACTTTGTTAATACATAACAGCATAATGTGTCTCTGGACATCGAATGTATATCATATTATATCTAGTGGCGAATTGAAGGGGGCCCCTACAATTTATAATTTTACGATTGTGGACGTGGGTGCCATTTTCGATCATTTAGAGATGCCATAATCATAAATATTACCTCAGTCCCAACCATGGTGGGGCTGAGGTGGTATTGACCGTTTGTCAGTGAATGTTTCTCTCTCTGGACCCTATTACACATTCATGGATTCGCCACTCATATCGTACCATTTATTTTGTCGTTAAAACATATAGAATGCAATGACAAACATAATGAAAAAAAAACAAAAAACGAGCACATCTAAAATCCCACAATGGAATTGGCGACCGGGACCCAAAAAGGCATCCCACTCTTAGAAAACCACAGGCCCCACGACCCCTTCGTTAAGCCACTACACCGGTGATAACTAATAGTGATAATAATTGTTTGGAGAAAAACGTATTTGTCCCCATCGGCGGCAGAGTATCCGAACGATAATCGGAAGATCTCGGGTTCAAATCACTACGTTTTTAATAGTTTATGCTTTCTTATTCAATAATTCTAACATAACCTTTGGTTTGATTTAGTCAATAATAATAATAATAATTTTTATAAGTTTTTAAAATTAATATTCCATTTTTATTATGACGTTTGGATTGAATCGCTGAAGCACTACAAATATTATTAATAATAATATTATTATTGATAAGCTTATCATTTTTTAATTTCATTTTAATGTTTCTTTAGAGGGCAGCTTATCTCAGTCGTCTAAACCCCTGCTTCTCAAACTATGGGTTTGGGGTCCTTTTAAGTGTCCTAAAAGGCACCTGATCTGACCTAGAGACAGAGACTTGGCGGGGTCTACTTAGGCGAAACTCTTAATGCTTATTCTGAGATACGACATTCAACGAGCAGAAATATCTATAAAAGATTACAAAAAATATGGTCAAGTCATATAGGCAGATCCCCTGTCTGGAGAGCTTCCCCCACCCCCCGTCGGGGAGAAAAAGCACAATTCGTCGGGGAAAAAATTATATGCATTTTCTACATATTATTAGACGCCTCGTCGGGGACCTCGGAGCCCCGTCGGGCAAATCCTGGCGCAACCCTTGTCATCAACCAACAGTACATGCAGTAAATAAAGTAAATCTAAAACGTATTCATGAAGTATGATCACCTGACGTGATTCAAACACGTGAAAAATAATAGCTGGATAAACTTTAAAATATCAAACTAAAACCTGAGTGCCGCTATTCGAATATGCTTTCAAAAAGAACATTAAAACATCGTACCGTAGTACGAATCATTATGGTATACCTGATTGAAAGAATATAACCTTGAATGAATTCAAAAGATGAAGCTGTTCATGGCTTTTTTATTTTTTTTTATTTTTGTAAAAAAGTTAAAAATTCATCCTAATTGTAGTGTTTTATGGCCGTAATAGGTAAGTTGTAATGAACTTAGTCATTAGTACTGGCCTCTAAAAGCTAATATCATGGAGGGGTCCTTTTTAAAAATTTAAGTAGGAGTTTTCCAAGGTGTATCTTTAGCACTAAGGTCCCTGTGCTTTGCACTGTTTGCACCGCCCACACCTACGCCACTGACGACAATATTATATATACACATTGGTCGCCAAAGAATATAGAGTATAAACGTTGGTTGCCACTTTAAAAAGTTTGAGAAGCAGAGGGATAAACTGCAGTGGGTAGTCACTTGGTGTGCGCTAAACCGTGGAAATATCGTATCCCGGGTTTAATTACCATCGTTGCTGTCCTTGTATTTCAGCTGGAGTGCTGACTGCAAGTTACGATAGAGCACCGTCTTTCGGATAAGACGTTTTAGCCATTGATTCCATGTGCATTTATGGTCCATGCACACGTTAAAGAATGCAGTACACTCTTCTGAAAAGAGTGGGGGATTGTCTCCCGGTGTACTGCCGAATCACCACCAGAAGGACCCTATACTGGAAATAAGCCTTCTTCAGACTGTCGTGGGTTATCCTTGGTGTTTACACTGAATAAATCCATCCATCCATTTTTTTTTAATTTAACCTAGTTGACCTAGTTTTAAATGTAAATCTTGAATTAAACTTTAAAACAATAAAAACAGTTATAATTGTATTTTATAGATATTCTATAATTATTATTATTGTTATCATTATTTGCATTAAATTATAAAGCACTCATTCTTAAACATTAATATCATTATTAGAATTATTATTGATGATATTATTATTATTATTATTAATGTTAAAATGATTATTGAGTATTGATGGTATTATTATTATTATTATTTTAAATCATATATTGTAGCATTACTATACAGTAAATAAATTGGCTGCACAAATACAAATAGTCCTAATTGTATAAGGGAAAACGTAAGACTTTATTGATTAGTCTTCTGTGTCTAGTGAGCACATTCCCTACGTAAACAACCTTCAATTTAATTATTATTTTTATTATTATTATTATTATTATTATTATTATTATTATTATTATTATTATTATTATTATTATTATGGATGTTAAAATGATTGCTGATGGTATTATTATTATTATTATTATTATTATTATTATTATTATTATTATTATCATTATTATTATTATTATTATTATTATTTTATCATATATTGTAGCATTACTATACAGTAAACAAATTGGCTGCACAAATACAAATAATTGTATAAGGAAAAACATAAGACTTTATTGATTAGTCTTCTGTGTCTGGTGAGCACATTCCCTACGTAAACAACCTTCAATTTAAACAAGTTCATATTTTCATAGAATTGCTAATTTTCATTAATAATTTATTAGATACGCACTCCAATTAATAAACAGGTTTCTAAGGAGTTGAAACAATGTAATTTCCCACTTAAGTGATATACAAGAGGCCTACCTATGACGTAGGCCTCTCCACGGCGCGTAGGTTGAGCTTTGGACTGCCGTTTTTTGCGTTCTTTGTCACCTTAGTTTTACCGTTCTGCTGCACAATTTAGATTTGGTTGTCATTTACAAATGTTAAGTTTGAATACGTTGATTTTTTTTAGCTGGCATCAATATGAAGAACGTCTTCAACAGCATTCAGCATAAACTCAAATCGACAGAATCACCAGGTAAGCTTCTCGCATGGATTACCTGCATTTTTATATATCCGTCTATTATTCTGTATTACTTAATTATGGCTTATGTGTCTTTCTATGATGATGATCTGTAATATTAACACGCCTAATCTATAAGGAAGTAGTATCACTTATTTATGTTTAAAAATTACTCCTTATATCAATTTAATATTTTTACTTAATAGTTTAAGTTGCTATGTAGATACTTAACCTTACAGGCATTATTCATTATTCCATTAATGTGTCCCGCGTTAGGAATATTACAATTCCTACAACAAACATTACAATAGAAAAGACGAAAAGAACAAATAAATGAATACAACATGCTTGAATGAATGGAGAAATGAATGAATCAACAGCATGCATTATTATGACTTACCTCGTCGAGTCCAACGACATCAGCTCCTTTAGAAAACCCAAAATGAAGTGAAAAAAAAGAAAAAAACAAAACTGTGTCATACAACATAAATAGGCCTATGTTTTTCTTTGTGTACTCAATAATATTTTAAGCGTATTAACTACAATTGATGTGTTATTCTTATCGGTTACATAATCGGTCAATGTTCCATTAAATTAATTATTAAATTATAATATTCGTATTGTCCTTGCACGCGACTTGCCTTTTTCCTCTGCCGCCATTTATTACTTATAACCTGCTGTTTCCTTTATTTTTCAATCGTCCTATTTTTTGGTGTTTTTTTTTCTTGGTCGATCGGATGGTTCATTATATTATAAGTAGAGCGTATATGTAGACTGCCATATCTTTTTTCATAGTAATATTTGTTACTTTTCTTGTTTTATTTTCGACATTTATATATATTTTTGTATCTGTTATATAATGGTTGCACCCAAACTGAATTTCCGTATTTCGGACAATGAAATAATCTTGAATTTTGAATTTTGCAGTATTTCAGAGGCTTGTGATCCTCAATGTATCGACGGTTTTAGCTGGTAGGGTCACGTCCCATGTGAAACAGACCATTAGCCAACAATGTTGTGCGTAACGTTAGCACTGCTACCAGGGAAAAACACAAAATATACAAAGCAATGGAAATATTCGAAATTTAAACAAATGGAGTTGCCGTACCATTTTAGGCCTACCGCGGATGAGGGATATGGAATGAAAGCCGAAAAAGAAGTTTCCGACCATGCAAATACCGAAGGGGACATAAAGAAGAACTGCTGAAGAAGACCCTTCGGCGACCTTTCGCGAGGCTGTGAGGTACTGGGGTGGGTTCAGATATTTGCGGGAGGGGCAGCAGAAAGAAGGGAACTCCTGTATAAATAACACCTTAAATTACCTTGGGAATATATTTCCAGAGCCTTAAAGCTAACAATAATATTAGCCTGAAAATTATTCTCATAAATGATCCACACCCCTAGAGAAAAAAAACAAACTGCTGACTACTTACTAATATCTCTGTACTTTTTTTTGCCAAATTTAAAAGCACTCTAACATGTTAAGGGTGGTGGGGTGGGGGGGGAACGACTATCCCCCACCCTGTATCAGCCCAGGTGTATCATTTGAATAATCATTCTGTGAAGTCCAGTCGACCAAATGCTGCAAGTATTGCCATACGTAACAGAATATGATAAAGCATAATAATTAATACTGCTATGTCTTTAACTATAATTTTTGAAAGAAGTTTGAAAATGAAAGTCAAATCACTTTTAAATAAAGAAGAAAAATAGCCAATAATAAATTTGTTTATAATATTAAAGCAGGTAAGATAGGCATACTGGTACAGAATATGGTAAAAAATGGATTATACAATACATTCGCCTGGACGGTAAAAGGTCACAAACATTTTGCCCTTACTCAAATTATTCTGATACGAGACTGATAGGTAACAAGGGGAACAGGTCCCAGTACAAAGTACAGTGAAAGTTCGAGATTTTCAGATTAATCATTGTTGATGATATTGCAGATGATATTGTAAAGATCTAATGCATGTGCTATACAAAAGCATCAAAAAGGATAAATGAAGATCAGAATAAATATTTATTAGTAGATAGAGACACTTCATTAAAAGCAAAAAATGTTCATCAGGTCTTAAAGTTTGACTACATTGAAATCTGCATTTTTTGATTGTCTCTCCGTTTGTCAAATTATGAACATAATCTGTAAAATGTTGATGAAATTGAATTCAAAATTGAATCCATTATGAGTAAACGATTTAACAAGCGGAACGATTAGTTAAACAACGAATAATGCATAATAAACCATACTGCCATTCGATACGATTAAATCAGTAATTATGGGGTACGGTCCCTAAACCTTATTACAAGCATTAGGCTTTTGGGTCAATGATAACGGAAGTGCAGTTACAAACACAACTGGCCGGGGAAAATAATGAAATGAAGCAACGGAACAATGGAAGCCCATTCAATTGTAGATATAATATATCTTTTCTAGGTTTTCTAGCTTAAACCATAGTTCCAGTGTCTGTAGGGGTGTGTGTGTGTGTGTGTGAGGGTTCGAGTCAGTTGTATGACAGAAAGTGTCTGGGGGTTTGAACTGTGCGTATACCATGGTCCAATGGTATGAAACTCGCCTTGATAGCGAGTGGTTTCAGTTCAGTTTCCCGCAAGACACATTTTTTTATATAACTTAAATAAGAAACTTTTAATAGTAGAAACAGTGCTATATATGAAAATGTTTATATATTAGGCCAAGACTTTTCTTTTATCTGAATTTGATTTTTGAAATATCGTTATCATTATTAATAAGCCTATTGTATTTTCAGTTCAGTTTCCCGCAAGACTCATTTTTTTATATAACTTAAATAAGAAACGTTTAATAGTAGAAACAGTGTTATATATGAAAATGTTTATATATTAGGCCAAGACTTTTCTTTTATCTGAATTTGATTTTTGAAATATCGTTATCATTATTAATAAGCCTATTGTATTTTTATTCAGATTCAGTCGACTTTGAAGAGTCTGTCAATTATGAAATTATATGTCGCCTGGTTTGTGAGCTAGGGAACCAAATGATCGGACAGTACCACTCAAAAAACAGTAACTCGGTTGTGTATGATGACGTCAGTTCTCTAATCGACGGTTCTTACGCGAAAGAACACTTTAACCACCCGAATTTCACATCAGATGAAAATTCAAGATGCAAAGAACCCAACTCAAATGAACTTGAACTAAAAACATTTATTCCTGTTACGCAATCCACCATACCACGTGATAGTGTCTATGATGGAGCTGATCTAGACCAAGTGTCTTACATTGATATTTGTGATAAGATATACCAGTATTACAAGTCGAAACTTAAGAAGCATGAGACACACAGACTAACATCAACAGAGTTTGATGCTGACTGGGAGTATGTTACTAGGCTCTTCAGCGCGCTCGGCGTGTCTAATGAGGAAATTCAAAAATATAAAAATAGACCGACAGAAAAACAAAAGGAACGTGGTGAGAAATGTACCATTTTGTAAATAATAAGACTAGGATGATGAAGATTATATGATGATGATGATTATTATGATTACCAACATATAGACCGATAACTATGAAAATGATGATGATACATGCACGCATGATGACAATGTATAATGAGTCATGGTGGTGATGATGATAATGATGATGACGTTGATAATGATGACGATGATGACGACGATGATGGAGTGGACTTCAATAGCTTGGTGTTCATGCATTCCAATCCCATGGTCCCTGGGTTCAATTCTTTTGACAGCAGGACTATCACGACTAACAACTCCAGTTTCTAAGCCACGTTATGATGGAGTACGGTAGATATCTATTGAACAGGACACACAGTATAAAGAAAAAATACAATGGTGAAGACGACGATGATGACGATGGGGATGACGGTAGCGTTGGTGATGGTCAGATTATGATTATGATAACGGGGATTTTATTATATATATTTTAGTCAAAGAAGACTATATTAACCTAGGTGAAGCAGAAGAAACAGTCCCATCACTTCAAACGGCTGGTAAGCGTACATTTGTATTCTGCTATACTGTACTGTAATAATGTTCATTGTTGTGATCGTTTAGTCTGCAGATGTAGGCCTATTTCGAAACCAAAAATGATATTAGTGTATATTAATGTATAATAACGTAGGCCTACCTGTAAGCCTGTTACACCAGACACACATTGTGTGGCTGGATGTTGTCATTAATTAAATTGATATAATATGCTAATTTGTAATAGGTCCCTATGTATTTTTTAAAATATCGTGTGATTCAAACCTAGCTGCGATTTGATATGAATAAAAGAAACGAAGAAAGACAAAATATGATTCAATGGCACCTGGACCAGACGTGTATGACGGGGTCGATCGTTTTAAAAGTTGATCCGCTTACACTACCGCCGACTTTGCACCGTCACACAGAGCGGAAATAAATTCAATGGTCGGTTGTTGTCTGCTAAACGTCAGCCATTGTGCGCCCGGCTTTCACGCGTGAAATCTTTCGTCATCGTGCTTATTTTCATTCAAATTCATTCGCTTGTTTATTTATGATGTTTTACGTATGGGGGCCCCTTGTGAATATTTTGTTATTAATATTTAATTTTATGTTTAGCTTTAATATAGATTTAATATTCATTATATTTCTCTTGTTTATAATACATAATTTATTCTTTCAAGCTCCTGTTTATGTTATGAAGACACATGTCCTATCGCATTCCAGCAGACTTCAAGGTTTGTGTTAATAATTCATTTATACTATCTAATAAACTTATATAACAATCAAATTCAATATTTAAATTGCGTTCATTGACGCCAGCCTATAGCTTGTGAAAATTCGAATTGAAAAATCTTCACTAATTAACAGACAAACAATACTACTGCACTGACATTTAAAATGACTTACAGAAAATTTTAAAAGGTCATTAGCTTAGCAACAATTTAATTTGATTCCATCGTTGTCTCATTAAGTGTGTATAATTTAATTGATCTTCCTAAATGAGAAATTAAACGCAATAATTAGATATTTGATGGGTCCACATATAGGGGCCTAGTATTGACTAACCGAGAGTGTATTTAGTAGAAAAACAATAAATGTTTTTTTAGACTATAGTTTTTTATATTTTAGACATTCATTCATATTTTTTATAAGCAATGCATTTCAAAAGTTTAGCTTACCTGGACTCTATAAACAATTTCCTTGGGCTATGCATGTGGTATATGCCTATTTCGAATAAATAAATACCTCGGAACTTATATATAATTTAGTTGAAAAGTAATAAAGCCCCAACCGTGTTGGAACTGAGGTGGTTTTGAGCCTCTATCTGTAAGAGTCCTTCCCTGGGCCCTCTTTATTTCGAATTCTGGGATCCGCCGCTGAAAGTTGCTTGTAACAATTTGCATATTGATTTATTTTGGATATGAATTCATATGGTTTCATAACTTTGGCTGTTCTTGACTCTTGTAAGCCTACATAAACAAATTTTTCTATGCATAGCCATATTTCGATTAAATAAATGCTTAGGCATTTTAAACAATGTTTTTTATGAATGCAAATGTAAATAATGGCCTGTTAGATTAGGTAAACACTGACGTGGCAAAAAACTTTACTTTATTCAATTGATCGACTGATCTGTCAATCAATTGATCAATCAATCGATCGATCATCTGATCAATCGATCGATCATCTGACATCCAAAGAAGGCATGACCTCAATGAATTCCCGTCTTTTCTTGTCTTGAGAACATCTCTTTCATTTTTATGCCACTGCTGGTCTTTAACGAATTGTCTATTAATTCTACTGTAGTTCCTTCTCTTTGTTAAGTGCGTACATCCTAAACTCTACTCTCTTCTTATTATATATCCTACCAATTTCCATCTTGACAGATTTAATAAACATAATTATACTTATCAAAATACAAAAAAAATACATAGATGAATACCATACTATTGTCTGTTATGAGCTAAAAAATTAAATATTTTGTAGTAAAATTGTCTGAAATCAGCGAAAATTGTATTTTTCTTTATCGGTTTCTGGTTGGAAAAATTAAAATATATTTTGTAGTAAAAATGTCTGACATCAGTGAAAATTGTATTTTCTTTTTGTCTGTTTCTTGTTGGAATTTTTAAAAATTATTTAATACATTTAAGTTAGTTATTACAAAGGTTTACTTAAATTATTAAAGTTTTCCGATTTTTTTTTTCGGCAGACAGTGTACTTTATTTTTTAGCCTTTTCACTTATGCTGTGTTTCACCCTGTCTAATTCAATTTTCCGGTTATTACATGTTTGTTCATGCATAATTTATTCTTCGAAACAATAAGTTACGTTATTTCCGTCTAACACATTCTTAATATCATCGCATATTTTAACGGAAATTTATTTTTCTCTTTTTTTTTTTTACAGAACCAAAGGAATTGGGACTGATAATCGTATTAAGCACTGTTTTTCTTGGGTTGTCTATTACATTTTTCATCTTGGTTACAAAGCACAAAAGCCCCAAAATGATTAAAGAATTGCTAGTAATTTTAGCTCTACTCATCGTCACAGGATTCCCTATGTTTCGTTGTATTATTAAACGACAAATCAAGGCAAAACAATCTGTAAAAAAATTAAATGCAAGACAGTTGTACATGTATGCTTGAAATTGAATTCTTAACTTGGCCTGTCTTCTACTTTACTTGTAACCAGACATAAATCCTACACAGATTTCCTCGCTATTTAAGCAATGCATACCGTATTGTTACTGAATTCCCACGTTAGATATATTATCAAACGTCAAATCAATAGAAAATAGAATTAAAATCAAGGCAACTATACATGAATTTTTTACCATTTTCGTTGACCTGTCTATTGCGTTTAAAATATACAACTAGTAACAAAGCACAAAATCTCTGGTAAAAATAAAGAATTACTCCTGATTAGGCAAAGCTTATTGTCACTGGGTTCTATGTTTCGATGTATCATCAAACGACAGATCAAGACGACATGAAATCTACATTAATAAGAAGTAGTACAGGCTTTTAAATTCCCAAAGTGAACGAATTGACAGAATACATTTGTAGCACAAATAAATTATTGTGCTACATCAGTCCTAAATCTACTGATAACAGAATATAATTAGGCCTATTCAAATAATAGGCCTACTCATATTTCCCCTCTACGAGACGACAATTTCGGCCTTGGTTTAAATTTGTATTTTACATTCCTTGACTGTAGTATGTTTCTATAATTTAAGTTTTTAAAGTCGCTACACATTGTCTTCGTTCTTATAATATCTTTTTATATGTCCATTTCTCTAAAGATATAGTGCATCAGTTGCAAAAATAAAGTTTAGGGTTTTTTTAATATCGAATTTAAAGGTTCCGTTTCCAATCACCATTAGAAATATTGCACTGTATATTTTGTTTTAATGTTAATTGTTATTTATATATTTTTATCACAATTTATTCTTGTAGTTATTTACTATTTATTTAAATTATTAATTCACATACACGCAATTGGCAATGGTTTGTGCAATAATTGGTCTTACCGATTTTGAATGTCATTATTTTTTAAACATTTAAATTTATGTGTGTTTGACGGTTCACAATCCAGTATAAGCAAAGAACTTAAAAATGTATATCTTGTTTATTTAACATTTTCTATCAATAAATGCGTCATAATGTTTGCAAGATTCAATACTTCGTTTTATTAGTATTTTTATACTTTTTAATGTGTACACGTTTACAATAAGTATTTGTAATAATGTTGACGACAATATTATGCATATATATTCAAATTTATACATAGGTCAAACGAGAAACGAACAGATGTTGCTGGAAACGATGGCGTTGAAACAAATATAACAAGTAGTCGTGTGGACTATAGAACAGTCCTGGTTTTTTTTTTCGGCTTATAAAACTAAATAACAAAATGTGACTGACACAAGTGTTATTATGCTTATGTATTGTGATAGGTCTAGAGTTAAGGGCCAATTATCACATCCTTTATGTTACATCTTCGTAATTACTCAAGCTAAACCAGAGTGTTATAGTCCACATGATTCGTTGTTTGTCATAATTGTTTGTCATAATTATATAATTTCAAGAACACACCTGGATTTACGATGAATCAAGATTGAAAAATAAAAGCCTATCTCAGTAGTGTATCTGTCTCTTATACACATCTAGATGTGTATAAGAGACAGACATACATGATTGTATTGTCCTCATGTATGCTGCTGGAACGTTGACACTCGATAATGAGAGCTTTGAGATGTGACATTAAATGAAAATGACCGAGTCTTTTATAGAATATAACGTGAATGGAAGGTTTTTGAATTAAGCAATGTAAGAAAACAAATGCCGATATTTTGACCTCTATTACATCTACATTTTGCCAACAATGATGAAGTGGGTATATATTGTCTGCAGTTATTTCCTTCCTACTAGGCGTTCGTTTCTTCTAAATAGCATAAACTTAATTACAAATTTGAAATGTATAAATAAATAAAATCTAATCAACATAAAATTGAGGATTTATGTAGGCCTATAAAGGAATAATTACATACCCTAATCTTAAGAATTTTCAATAGTAAACAATTTTTTTTAAACAATTATTACCGGGATTAGTGTACTTTGATAATACTTCACAGGAAGTGGCGACGTGGTTCACAGGTTAGCCTAATCAATGCCCAATCGTGCGATTAAATGCATCATTAAGTAGCCTAATGTAGTTATGAAATAGAATTAAAAACACTGTCTGCGGTAAAAAAAACAACCCAAAATTCAATTAAAGCTTAATAAAACTAAACCAAGCCATCAACTTCCAGTGAGCGTGAGGCCGAATGAAGTCGTCCCTTTTCCGCTAAGCCCCGCCCCTTGGATATTGTTGCTAAGATCCAGCAAAACGACAAGTTAATGGCAGTTGGTAAAACACGCAACGCGTGCATTTGTGGGACAACACGTTCGTTTGTGAGACACGCGGGTATTTGGTCTAATCAGTTAAATTGACAAATCCGAAGGACCGTTACCTTTTTGCAAATAGGAAACGGGATGCCTAAGGGCTATCTTCGTCTTTTTATTGGCTAGCAGAAAACAATTTCTTTTGTTAAGATTTTCGATTAGAAGGTAATAGATTTAAAGATAAGAAATTAAATTATTAATTTAACACATTATTAAGGTGGTCAGATTTTCCAATTAATAATATTACGAAACTTGATGTTGTTGCAAGAACGAGCCACTGGCGGATCCAGGGGCCCCGTATAGAAAAACCCACGAAATTTTATGATTATGAAATGTTATGGTCTGTAGATGGCCGGAATTGGCATTCTCAGACTTATAATAATTAGTATAAAATTTCCATTTTATCTCCATTATTTATTTTTTTTTTTTGGAAAAATTTAGGGGGGGGGGGAGGCGACTGGGCACCCATCAATCCGCCACTGGAGCGTCTTATTAAATACTCCGGCTCAGTGTCTAAACAGGATGTCTTTATAGCCTCCTGCTTCATTTTAGGTGACAAACTTTTACGGTAATTCCTCCATGTGGTCGGATCAGGTGCCTTTGGACACTAGAGTACCCAAATTCGGCTAAGTGGAATACAAAGTGGCTGTGATAACCATTTCGATTTCAGGGCGGATCCAGGATGGATCTGCCGGGGTGGCGAGAGAAGCACACCTACGAGGACCTTGGGTCCGAGGGAGGAGGGTTTGGGAGGGGGTTTGGAGGGGATTAGACTTTGACTAAAAGACAGCTTAATATGCAGTGAAATATTATCAGTTTATAAATGAAAGGAAACATAATAGAGGAAAAAAACAAAATTTTTAAGTAAATTTATCTTTTCGTCTGGTTTTAAGAAGCATAATTTTTTCCACGATTTACAGCAGTCAATGGATTGAAAAACATCAAATGATGACCGTTTATGTACTCAGATTTATATTTTTACACCAGTAATATGTGGACCTCGTCTTTTCACATTTTTTCTTTTTTCTATTACAACTATGTATTGCTGTTTAGTGGTTATGTATTTTGAAAAATTAATGAAGAAGAAAAAGTCAGTCAAATAAACCGGCAATACGATAGATAGGCATAAAGAACATTTCTGGCAACTAATTACTTCTATATATAACAATTGGGAGACAGTTCTGCCGTGATAGTCTGGCAATTGAACACTAGGTCAGCTCGCGCTCGCCGCGCGAAAGTTTGTTTTTGTTTTCCTGTTGTTTTATTATGGTAATATATGTTACTTTTGTAAACAACGGTTTAGTTGTCATTGGTAAGATGAAATGTAAAGAAGAGCAGACCTAACAATGGCTGGGCTAGGCCAGACTTGCTTAGGTCAGGGTCAACCTACATGTAATTCTAGGGCCTAGGCTAGGCCTAGTGTAGTAGTAAGTAGGCTAGGCCCTACGGTGATTCGGCCCTACTACTACTCCCAGGCTAGCCTAGACCCCCTAGGGTAGGCGGGATATGACCGGTTGAGCCGGCGGCTCAACTTGTCGGCGGCTCAACCGGTCATAATCCCACCACTACTAGTACTAGTACTGGCTAGCTGGGCCACTATCTACTACAGCCTGTTTCAGTACCTAGGCCAAAAGCCTATATCAATCATTACCTACTCTACTAGGGCCTACTACTAGACTAGGACTACTGTAGGTCTAGGGCTAGACAGGCCTACCATAGCTAACCAGTACTAGTAGTGGTGGTGGTGGTGGCTCAAGAAATTTGCTGACAGAGGAGTCTGAACCAAGGGTCAATACGCCCTTTTTCACGAATCGGTAGACATCTTGAAGTGATGACAAACATTGCGAATCAGCGGTGCGTAACCAACAGAAATAAGATAAGCTTTTGGGCGGATTTTTTGAAATCATGTTATTTAAAAAATCATAACTCTATAACGGGGCGTTGTATCCAAAAAAAATTTCCAGCAAAATGTTCTTAAAAGACTAGTCTACACCACTATATGATTGAAAAAGAATTGAAAAATGTTGTTGACCTCTGAAATCAAGATTGAAAAATAAAAGCCTATCTCAGTAG